CTTTCTTTTAAGCACTGAACCTGTGACTTTAAAACCTTCAAGCACCAGCCATATTGATTTTCTATCTGGAGCAACATAATTCTGATGTAACATGAAATAAACATAAAAAGCCCTCTGTGTTGCAATTATTAATCTATCAGTCTTAAAAAACATTTCAATAGCTAACACAGTGTACACCAGTCTAAGCCATGATGTAATCTAAAAAAAAATAGTAAAACGTTAGCTAGATGAAGACACTATTGCCACTTGCCTGAGTACATTAACATCACAATGGTGACAGCTTAAAATGTGGAAGGTATTTCTGCTGCAACCTGTGGAAAGAATTATCAAATAATGACAGTATCCCAAAAAGGAATTGTATTTGAAGTGATTTATTTCTGAAACTCATAGTCAACCTCATGATCAAAATTGTCATCTCAGTATTGTCTATTGGTGCATATATTGTTCTTCTTTTATATAGTGTGTCCTTTCAGGATATGAATGATCATAGCTCTCCTCAACTTCCCATCCTTTGTAGCTTTAAGTACTCTTTGTCTCCATATTTTCCCTCCCAGTCTCTGTCCTTCCATCTATTTACGCAAGTCTGTAAGGTAGGTTATATGCTGCTTCCTCTGGCCTTCACTATGTCCTGTGAGTTTCCAATTTGCCAAGCCCTTTTTCTTTATTATGTCCTAGAAATGTCCACTCTCTCTTTCTGATTCTGTCTCGGTGTCTTTTTTGTTTCCATTTTCCTTAAGACTTCCTTATTACTCACATGTTCAGGCCATGGTATTCTTAGCATTCTTCTTTAGAATCATGCTTTTGTAGCCCTCAAGTATCTTCATTTGTGAATATGAAGAGGAGACAGTATTCCCTTCTATAAAGGCAAATTGATATTACAAAGCAGCCCAGCACACTTATATGTGCAAATTTGTTGTTGTATTACTTGTATGTTCTATTATTTTGCATTGTTTATGTGTGTGCAGTGGAGATAAAGTCAGATTCCTGGAACAAAATCTGTTATTTTTAGTAACATATCTCATGCTTTTTTAGTACCTAAATGTGTATTAAGATGGTTAGTTAAACATTGTGGGCTTATTTTTTATTCTTCATTTATAAGGACACAGCCAAGCCTGGAATAACCTGCATGGCTCAAACTTACAATCAGCTACACCTAAAAATAATATAATGTTCACATACATACATAAAAAACTAACTAATTTATAATTGGTAAAGAGTGGTGTTACTCCTGTTAAATATGTTGTTTGCAGTAGTCACATGACACATTAGTGTAAATGCAATGTCGAATTAAAAACTTTCTTAGACTGCCACAGAAAAGGACAGGATTGATAGGTAGGAATTAATTTTTGGCTACTTTTCTCCTTACTTTTGTCATGCATACAAACGTTATATACTTTAAAACACTTGATGTCACTGGTTTTAAGTATGATCTGTTTTAATTACGTTTCATTTCAGCTGTCCGTTTTTTGTATTTCAAATATTTTGGGGGCCTTCTCAAACCTGCTTTCAATATATTACACAATCAAAATATGTCTTAATACATAAGTATTTTAGGGATAGCTAAAAATACCCTTGAATATTTATACTTTTCTTTCTGCAATATGTGAGCACTCTTCTTTCTTGATGGGAAATATGATCAAGAAAATATATACAGCATAAATGGTAAGTATAGTGAAAATGTAACATGAAACAGTTTCTTCTGTAGCACAGACACTGGAACAACACTCGCAAAGAACTCTGGTTCAGCACACATCACAATGCACTGATCTGTACTGCACAGAGCCTATAGCTTACTGCCATTCCAACAAACACTTGCATCTTTTATTTGTTTTGCAAAGCCAGAAAATTAGCACACTGCCAACCTGGGTCTGGCACAGTGACACGTGCACTGTATTATTCTGATGCTTGTACAGTTCTCCTCGCTCACAATTTACTCATCTTATGACCTCTTTGACCTCTGAGGTAAATCTCCAACATACTCTCCACTGATCCCCTGATCACAAAAGTGGCAACCTGGGAGTGGTTGCTTTTGTCTGGTACTTCTTTGCAAAGGTAAGGCTTCTGCTTCCTCTCCTGCTTCCTCCTCAGTCTCACTGTCCAACTCTGCATCTATGTTGTCATGCAGCAGACTCTCCAACCTGCTCTCTTAAAATGTTGTGCTGTCATGATGACATTGTGGCATGGGTGCAGATCTTTTACATATGGGGCCTTCAGTTCACCAGACAGGGCTGTGGGCTGACTATTTTAGTTACCTGACCCTTGCCAAACTTTGTGGTACATCAACTCTTCAGTGCCTTGACCCACATGTAATCTCTAACCTAGTAAGGGCTGTGCCCAAGACCTGAGGATATTGTCACAGCATCAGCCACTTCACCCAAACTTCATATCAGTAGATCACATTGGCCAGTGTGGTTAGATGTGAGTTGTCATCCTTTAAGGTCATGTTGTGTCAGTAGACAGCCTTCTGGATGGAACAGAACATCCAGGGAGCAATTTGCTTCACTGTATGGTGACATCGCTTTGCTATACCATTCCCAGCTGGGGTGTGCAAGTGACAGGATCACAGGTTTAAACTATGAACTCCCTGCTGCAGAAGGCTGTGTTATTATCTGTAAGGAGCTTGTTCAGTGGGCTACGCTCAAAGAACACTGCCACCAGCTGTTGAATCTAGCCAACTGCTTCCAAATGGGAAAATGTAACAGGCTGTGAGTGTTAAGAAATGCTGGGCACCATGTTGCATGATGTCCATGCTAGTTCCTGTTCACCTCCAGCTTTCTCTTCTCCTAGTGGGTTGATACTGGGTCTATAGATTGGCATTCTTTGCACACCTGTATAGCTAACTTAAATAGGTGGTGTGCCATATGCCCAGGTACCCAGTGCTTCTGTGGATAGACATGATTTGACTTGTGTCCAGCTTATCCCTGTGGACAGCACTGATCAGTGGCCCGGGTCCATTTTCTTTCTTTATCACATTAAATGAGTTCCTTGAGTGTACTCAACCACCTCCTGAGGAGCATCTCAATTACTGCCTTGGTATGCACTCACAATTTTCTGGTTGGAATGTCCAATACCCAGTGGTACACACACACACACAGTCCATCTTTATGTGCAGCACCTTACCGTACTACTGTAGTTCTATGTTGATGCCTTTCAGCATGGTGTGCAGTTCAGCTAAATTTATATGTTGGGCATTGTTTTCAGGTCACAGCCCACAAACATCCTCCAGCACTGTCCGATGCCTCTCCAACACCACGCTGGTTGCTAAAGAACCACACGTTCAGCTCCTGCCCATCCACACACCAATCCCTATGAGCCGGATCCATGGTCTCGAACATCATACACTTACATATGATTTCAAAATTATTTTAAAAAACAGTGTGAATTACATCTATGAGCAGGTACATGACTACTATAGTCTAAGATTTTCAGCCAAATATTCTCTATTTAGATTTGAATTTAATAATGCAGTAAATAAGCAATTAACTTTGGCAATAAGAATTCATATTTTCTCAGGCATAAAAAATCAACAATTTTCAATGTTTTGAAATCATATGTAATTCCTCTTATTAAAGGTACTATGTTTCAGAAAAATATCTTGAAATAGATAATATCAATAAAATCACCATTAACTTCAACCACGGCCTCCTGATGACTTTGAAATCTCCTGCAACCCTTCTGGACAGTCTCCTTGTTTAAGTTGGTGAATGCTGCCATAATCCTTGCCTTCAGTTCATCAAGTACATTCAGTTACAAGGAGTTTTGTTGGTTTCTTGCTCAACTGCACCCCACACAAAGGTGTTGCAGTCTGGGCACTTAAATGGCCAGATGTAAAGGGGTGATGTGGTCGCAGAAATTGTTCATGACTGGGTTCTCCTGCTTGTGTGGCATGGTGCACAGTCCTGTTGCCAGACATAAGCTCTTCCAGCAGCCACCCTCTTGACCCAGAGCAGCACTACCTCCTCAAAGCTGTTGAATTTGAGGCCCAGTGGGAGGGATCAATAGAGGTTGCCATCACTAGTGATCACTCTAAACACCATAATGTTGACTGGATATATATTCCAACTCTTTCTGAATCCCCTGCACTGTCATCAGATTGACACCTAAACACTCTGAAATGTCTGTATTAAAGCTTTTGGTGTGAATGCCAAGCAGTACAGCATGCTCTTTTCAATTTTCTGGTGGAGTGAATTACATCATGGTTCTCTTTTTCTCACGGATGGTATCCAACTGACCCTACTATGCTGTGCAGTTGACAGAATCAAAAACAAACAATGTACATCCATGAAATTAAAAATATAAAATGGTGACAATTTACCCATCTTCCCTGTACATCTGGCAGCCTCTGATCAGGAGAGTGGAGATTCTGAGGAGCATAGAATAGATTCTTAATTTCTGGTGTTCCCAGATTCACCCTGATCCAGGGTGGGAATACATGTTAGGGTCCCAGCTATAGGTGAATGGTGAACCTCCAAGCATTTTGAAAATATAAAAATACATTTTTATACTAAAAATACCAGCGATATATTTTTATATAAAAAAAAGAACAATGATACATATAGCAAAATGACCAACAATACAAATTATCTGTAGTTGAAGGCGTGCAATTGTGTTCAAAATATATTTAGTTGAAGTCATAAAATTGTTGAAAATTTTTAGATTTCCATATTAAATAAACCTTAGTGGTTGATATGCCACTAAACAAAATCAACCAACCAACTGTAGGGGGTGGGGGTTAATTTACAATAAATTACATAGCAAACTGTCACCCCACATTAACGTTTATAAAATTTAATTTATTTTTTATTTCTTTATTCTTTCAATATTTGTGACCTTAATCTGTAGTAATATGAAGAAAAAAGTAATTGACAAAAAATGATTTTTAGTTTCAGTTCCTGTTATACAATTCCATCCACTCTTTCTTTTATACTCTTTCTTTCTTTCTTTCTTTGTATTATACTGTTTCTTTCCTTCTATTATACTCTTTCTCTTCATGTGGCCTTATGTTTCTCTTTTCATCTTTCACTTTTTCTCCTCCCCTTCCTCCAACACACACTCAAAATCTTCATGCTCACCAACATGGATTTGAAGTGAAGGTAAAAAGAGATTCAGTCTTTTTAGATTAGATTAATTACTGAATAATAAGAATAAAAAAATGTTGATAAACATGTCTTCTTTTCCCTTTGAATTCTCGTTTTTTTTTTTTTTTTTTCCTCTACCAAACATCCAACCACATTTAAGGGAAATGTAATGGGGCTTTGTTTGGTTGCATAAATTTTTCATCAGTGACAAAACAACCCAGAAGAAATGGAAGATAAACCTATACTCATGTACCTAGACTGTAGATTTGCCACAAAAATATAGTTTCTGGTTTTTCTTCTTGACTTCTCTTTTTTTGTTTTCTTGCTTTTTTCTTTCTCTTCTTTCTTTCTTATCTTGCTTTCTTTCCTTCCTATTTTTTTTCTTTCTTTCCTTCCTATCTTTCTTTCTTTCCTTCTTTCTTTCCTTCATTTCTTTCTATCTTTCTTTCCTTTTTTCTTTCCTTCTTTTCTTTACTTTGCCTCTTTCTTTCATTTTTTCTTTTCTTTCTTTTCTTTCTTTCTTTCATTTCTTTCTTTTCTTTCTTTTCTTTTTCTTTCTTTCTTTCATTTCTTTCTTTCATTTCTTTCTTTCTTTCTTTTCTTTTTCTTTCTTTTCTTTTTCTTTCTTTTCTTTTTCTTTCTTTTCTTTTTCTTTCTTTTCTTTTTCTTTCTTTCTTTCTTTCTTTCATTTCTTTCTTCATTGCTTTACTTTCCTTCCTTTCTTTACGTTCCTTCCCTTTTTCTCTTCCTTCCTTCAGTTCTTTCTTTCCAGTTGTTAAGAATATTGTTATTTCTAAAAAAATCTGTAGTGATTTTTTTTTTGTCTGATTCAAGTTTGAGGAAATTTTTAATTAAATAAACCATATAAATCATGAAAGAAAACTTTCATTCTGTTTTTGAACTTGAAACAGTCATTCCAATTTGTTTATATCAAGAATTTTCTCTTTCATATTTTGAGATTTTGTGTAAAGATTTATATTAATTGAACCACTGGGGATAGCGACATTTTGTCACTACTGCTAGTAAAGGTGATAATTATTGGGAAGAGGCAATGGAACAGCATGTAGCAAGAACTGAGTTCATTGATATCTTAGTACATGAACTAAAAAATCCACCTGTTGATGACTATTGTAAAAGCAGTTTCCCCTTTATGCAAATCTACTTTAAAACCTATATTAATTATTGTCCCAAATGATTCATTGCTATAATTCTCTGAGTTATTTGGACTAGTATCTTTATCCTTATTGTTTTTACCACAATATTTTGGCCAATGTGTTCTTTTGATCATTATTTTTATTTGTTTAATTAATTTGGTTGTTTGTTCTTTTTTCTTTTCTTTCATAAATGATCCTAGATCCTTTTTTTTTCATAGATGTTCCTAAATCTCTTGTTTTATAGAGATTTCTCTATTTTCTTTCATAGAGGTTTATAAATCCTTTCTTTCTTAAATGGGTCTACATCCTTTCTTAGGATATTTTTTGAGCAGTATCAAATATTCTGAGTGGCAGAGGCAAACAAATTGTCAGTCTGAAAAATCTGGTTGCATGTAGATCATAATAGATAAGCAGCCTTATTGGAATGTGCCTAGTGATAAAGAAGCTGAAAAAAAGATAATAGTCTAGAACTGAATGCTATGTAGGTAGCCTTTGTTCAGTAGAGCAAAAAAAAGAATAAAGATCCTTCCATAACTGAGAAATTGTAAATGTTTTCTGTATTTAGCATATATAGCACTAGAATTCTCATTGAGTAACTTGTTTTGAAATAATACAGCAAAATATTCATTTATTTTAACCAATGAAATTTGGCTTATGGATGAGAATAAAGATAAAAGTATAAACAGCTGCCATATCTGCCAGGTAGACAGAATTAAATTTACTAGCTTTACATTTGTAATAATTATTATCTTATATTTCTATCCATATCTTAAATTCCAGATAATGAGTGAGAGAATTGTCTATAGAGTAAAGCATTGCCCCTCACCAAGACCATTTGTGCTCAGAGTTAACTGTAGCCACTTCCAAAGTTTGCATCACCAAATCTTTCTATTCCTATTTCTGAACTTTATTTCTTTCCTTCCTTCTCTTAATACATACCTCAATACATGTACATATATATATATATATATATACTTACATGTGTGCAGGCGCATCTGCATAAAGTGATGCACATTAATTTAATGTTAATTCTCAGTATTACATTTTAATATGACTCTATTCTGATTGGGAATGGGAAATTTGGCTTGACATTTTTCCAAGGAAGTGGATATTAAGACTTATACTAAGTTAAAACTTAATAAACTTTCATTTTAATTTGCTTCATTCAGTTATGTGGCACTTATATATTAATTCAAGTTTACCATTTATTTGTGGCTGATTGGTTGTTCGTGGTATCTGGGAATAACTTGAATTCCTTTGATAGAAGCCAAAAGAAAAGTAGGTAGATTGTTAAGAAAACCGACACTAACTGCCCCCTGGTACGATCACTACCCATCCGAAATGAGAAATAGTTGTATGCTTTCAGTCATGGAAATCAGAAAAATTCATTTGAAGTCTGCATAATTGTACCAAAGCACCATTGAAATTAAATCAGCCTGTTCTGTCCATACAGTGTCCAATTTAAATATTGGAAAAAAGGAATTGAAGCATCTCCTGTAAGTAACTTACAATGCCTCAGGGCATCCTGCCATTTATAAAATATTTAATTTAATCTTTTCTTTTGTTTTATTTCTGATGTTTTCATTTCTCCTTTCCTTTGTCCTCCATTTTCTTTTCTCCATTGCTATTAATTATTAATCTTCTCACTTCAGCCTGTCTCCAATGTACTTGGTGGATATCAGAACTGTCATAATTTATTCCTTTCATATTTTGTGCTTTTTGGGGTTTTTTTTGTTGCTTTAAACAAGTTAATAGGAGTAGATAGGCACACCTATCATTTGGCCTGAACTTCTTCCATATTTATTGAACAGGAGTAGAGGTTCATCCCTTGTTTCCTGTTTAGGATGTGGTTTAATGGTACTCTTTCTTTCTTCAATCAGAGCCACAGTGATTTAGCTGTCTTAACTTTTTGGTGATCAGACTAACCAGTGGCTTGGCCTTTTCATTGCGAAGGTACCGGGTTGGTAGTTTGCTGGCTGCTGCTTCTAATTGGTTGTTAGGAGCCAAAACTCTTTGATAGTGCTTAAAGAGGCTACTCTGATCAACAGTTGCATAATATAGGGATATTTGTAGTGCCATATCATGCACAGATAAGTGTCCTTGCATTTTTCTCTGGTGGGCAATCCTGAGGCAACACTATGCTCTGTTCTTAGCCATGCTCTGTCTGATTTGTATTACCATTGACAACAGATACTGACAATTATGGTGGTCTTTTCTCTCTCTCATGGAAAACAGAACAAAAAGAAATGCAGCTAAGCCAGTAAACAACTACCCCTACCTACTGGGCTTTCTTTTACTAATATTCATGGTATCCATTCCAACTTCTGCAGTGTAGAATCTTTTCTCTTGAAACAGTTACCAGATATCTTTGCCTTCTATGAAACTAACTTAAATTCTTCCATTGTGACCAATGGATTCTTGGCTCCAGGCTATCTTCCCCTTTGCCAAAAAGATTCCAGCATTCATGTATGGCCTTGATGTTTATATCCATGATAATCTTCTGATGGCCAGGGAATTGTCTCTCACTGCTCCAGACTACTTCTTCATGTGCTTTTGTCTTTTATTACTAAACTTTATTAGCTATCTTTTTTCTTTTATCACTCCCCATCTTTCCTAGGACTACAGTATATTAGACATAATTGTTGACAGTATAAAAAAGGCACTTTTTGACCATCCATTTGCAAACATCTTTGTCTTCAGTGACTTTAATGCTCACCATGACATATAGTTTAAACATTCTAAAGGTACTGATGTTGCCGGTATACAGACATTAAATTTTTCCATTGCCCAATCCCTTACTTAAATCATAGACTTCCCTACTCATTTCCTAAGTAAAACAGAGCAACATGCTTCTCTACTTGATTTATTTCTTACCTCTTCTCCTCACTCTTGCTGAGCTTCACAATGCTAACCTCTTGGTAATTCTGATCACTCTGTAGTAACTATTGATATTTTGTTCCAATCCTCTATTAAACAGGAACCCCCTATACATAAAACCTCTTTCCATTACCAGCATGCTAATTGAGACTCACTTTGTGATTTTTTTTTTCTGTGATGCCCCTTGAGCCGACATCTTTAAACTCCCTATTGAAAATTGCGCCCCTGTCGTTTCTTCTTGGGTCAAAGCTGGCATGGATGCTTTCATCCCTTCTCGGCAATACCAGGTGAAACCTCAATCCTCTCCATGATTCACACCACCATGCTTGGCCACAATAGCACACAGGAAACATTATTTTTGGCTATACCAGTGTCTAGTCACAACAGGTGCCTATTTGTTGCTACTCAGAATAAATGTGAGTGAGTTCTTGAAGGAGCAAAGTCCCTGTTTGCCAAGAGAATGAGTCACTGCATAGCCTCTAACAAATGTGGCTCCTACAATTAATGGCAGCTCTCTACCAGGGAATTAAATAAGTGTAAGGTCTTAATTCCTCCCCTCTTCAATCAATAGAAAGTGTTATCATCCTCCACTGATGAAGTTGAATGCTTTGCCTGTAAATTCTCCTCAAAATCTACTCTTGACTCATTTGGAATATCCCTGCCTACCTTAAGAACTGAGTCTCTGTTGAGTAATATGCATATAACCCCTTCTATGTTTTCTGTTATCATCTCTTATCTAGATCTCCACAAAGGATGTGGACCTGATAGTATCCCTGTAATAGTCATTAAGAAATGTACTCCTGAACTGGCTCCTGTTCTCTCTAAACTGTATAATAAATGCCTCACTGCCTCTTGCTTTCCTGCCTGCTGGAAGTCATCTGTTGTTCCAGTTTTTAAGAACTTTGGTCAACTGCTGATATACTGACAATAATTGCAGAAATAGTCTATCATGTTCTAGATAAGAACAGTGAAGCCCAGGCTGTAACATTGGACATCTCTAAAACCTTTAATAATGTCTGGCATTCAGGTCTTCTCCACAAGCTAAAAAGTTACTGTGTCCCTAGGTAGGTGATCATGACTCTCCACAATTTCCCGTCCTTCATAGTTCTTAATAAATTTTATTGTTCTGTTATTTCTTCTAAACCCTGTTCCACCATTTATTTGCTCAAGCTCATTAGGTTATGTATTGTTTTCCTTTGTCTCTCTTGCCTTCAATCTGCCCTGAGAGTATCAGATTTTCTAAGCCCTTTTTCCTCATTATATGCCCTAGAAATTTCAACTGTCTTTTCCTGGATTTAAGTATATGTGTCCTTTTCATTTCCATAATAGCAAAAGTGTATTTTCAACATTCTCAGTATTTGTACCAATTTCTGCAGTGGGGAATCATTCCTCTTTGAACACTCTCCAGACATCCTAGTTCTCTGCAAAACTAATCTTAATTCTTTAATCCCCCACTCTCAATTCTCAATTCCTGGCTATCTTTCTGTTGGGGCCACCCACCTTCTCATCAGAATGGACTGATCTCTCTACTACTAATAGGACAGTTCTATAGAGTTCTGAGAGATCAGGTGACCATCACACTTCCGTCTCTCTACCGGAAGATAGAGTTAGACTTTATACTCTTTCTGATTGTTACTGACTAACCTGCGTTCGTTTGACTACTAATCTCTCTGTTGTAAATACCTCTTCAGATATACCAGTATTTTTCCCTATGTATGTGTTTGTCCTTATTTCAATGCACCC